TGAGAGTACATTTTCCCTCTTCTCTTCTTGGTAGAGGTAACGTATTATGCCTCTATGGAACATCACATACACCAGACATGAATGATGTGCTGGTTGGTTTTTCCTCCTGTGGCTTTCTTCTCCCTTTGCTTCATTCTTTGTCATGGGAGATGGTTCTCAAAGTGGGAGAGGGAAGGATATCTTGGGATATAAAGATGATATAAAACCAAAAGATGTCAATGAGAGAGAGAGAGAGAGAGAGTGAGAGAGAGAGAGATGCTGAACAGCAGTCTTCATCTCTGGTCCTACACTTCCTAATTTGGTACAAGATCAAGTGATTTTTTAAATCATTATTCATATGGGCTTTGTGTACATAATTCATTTTGTATTTCAAAAATTGCAGTGGGCTGCATATTTTTACCTATAGATTATATATGCCTGTGATTCTGTGAGTAAGGGATTTGGGAACTCAGTACACAGAGATCTAAATTTATATTCTGAAATCAGCTCTCTGGAACATTTATGAATAGAACTGCACTAGTTTTGGTTTGTTTTTTTTTTTACCTCATGGAGGTTGGGTAAATTTATCTCTTCCACATAATGTTCTTTGAACAAATTTGACATTGACTACCCTACCCCATAATGATCCTTCTCTTGCAAACTATTTTAGTACTGGATGCTATTCTTTGGCCAACCAGTCTTAGGAAATTCTCTTCATGTGGCTTCAGGGATAAGAATCTTCTGGAGACTGCAAAAATGACAGAGCTCAGATCATCAGCCCTAGGAGAACAAGGTCATTACAAGAATCTGTAGAGATTCCAGAAGGTAGAGGGAATAAATATCGCTAAAAGGTCAGAATCCTTTTAGAAGGCCAGGAATCAGCCTGTTTAAGGAATTTCAGGACCTTTGTCTTTCAATCAACAGACCATTGAGAGTGGATACCATTCCAAGCTGATAACCAAGGCCTATCTCAATCCTGACCAGTCCCCATAGAATCTCAACCTGGCTTCAAGTTCCAAGGGTGACTCAGAGTCAGGAAATATTGATGAATAACTCCCAAGTTTATACATCTAGCCCTGGCTTCTTGCCTGGGAAGCAAGAAAGAATGCCATAGATAGAGTGCTGGACTGGGAACCAGAAGACACAGATTTGAATCCTTCCCCAAATATCTCCCATTGTCTCAGACACTGAATTACTCATCTTTACCCTAAAACAGCTGTGCATTATTTTTTCTTTCCACTCCCGCTACTATTACCCTAGTTCATTCAGGTCTTATCACTTCATACTGACAGCTGCAACAGCCTCCTAACTGGTCTCTCCTTCCTTCCTTCTCCTTCCTCTATAATCCTAATCACAGAAACAATGTTTTTTTACCATGCCATTCCTCTACTCAAAAATTTTCAAGGCTCTCTATAACCTACAAGATAAAGTCTCAATCTTTTAGCTTTGCAATTAACACCCTCCATAATCTGGTCCCAACCTACTTTTCTACCTAAATCTTCACTATTATACAATGCAAATCCTTCATTCAATCTCAACTGATTTATGCATTATCCCCAAATGAAGGTGCCTTCAGCTCCTCACCACATATGCTCCTTTTTCCTCCTCCTCATTTTGGTCCAGCTCAAGTCCCACCTGCTCCATGGAGCCTTCCTTTCAAGGCCAATTTGGCCTCCAATAGTCTTCCCTTCTTCTGACCTCAACACTTGTCTATACTATTCATTTGACATTGAATCATCTACAACCTCCTTCTATTGTTGTACATTTCTGTGCCTGTCCTTTCTTCCTAACTAGTATGCAAGCTCATTGGTAGGACAGGAATTATTTTTATATTTTGTGTTCCTTACAGCTCCTGGCAGGTGCTCAGTAAATGTTGACTGATTAAAGGCATGAATGGTTAAAGCCCTTATAACAATAACAGCTGATATTTATTTTGTTCTTTAAGGTTTACAAGACACTGTATCTACATTATCCCAATGGATCCTCAAAATGACCCTAAGAATGAGTACCAACTACTATCCCCATTTTACAGATAAACAAACTGTGCCTCAGAAAAGTTGAATGCCTTCCCCATGGTCACTCAGATAGTCCGTGTCCTGGGTGAGCTGTGGGAGATTAAAAACCAGATTTCTCCTTGCTCCAACTTAGGTATTCATTCAACTCCCCTACCTGATGATGTTGGGATCTAGAGCCCAGAAAGGAAAAACCCTGGACTTTCCCACAAGGCCAGATCTCTGGTTTTCCTCTGAGGCTATAATCCCATCAACTGGCCTTTCATTGTGGCTACACCCAATCTCTCAATTCTTAGTTACCCTTAACCTAGCCTAGTCCCAAACCTAGCTATGCTCCATTCTCCCTTGGCCACATGATCCAGGTCCCTGGCATTCTATCACTTCACCATCTCCAGCAGACTACTTGGCCACTCCCAGATCCCTCCCATAGTCTTTCTGTATATAAGGTCAATCTCGTCTCCATTAAAGTGCTCAGGTTCTTATGATCTAGCCAATAGCTTACTAACGTTCAGACTCCTTAAGAGTCTGCCCAATATGACGGATGTTCCAATGAACCTTGCCTTTGGCTGAAAGAAGGCTTGGGTCGAATTCTCTCGGACAGGACCCATATGTTGTGATTTTGGGGTCCCAGCACCCCAAGTCCCTAACCCTCAACATACATTCATGTTTCTCTCCCTAGTTCTGCCAAGGGCAACATCACTGTCTCCATTACAAAGCTCAGAACCTTAGAGTTACCTTTGAGATTTTCCCTTACTTCAGCCCCACATTTAGTCACTTTCTCTCATGCCATGTTCCTGTAATGCTATTTCTGCTGAAAGTTCACTACCAAGTTTGGAATATGGCAAGCATATCAGCACTTCTTAACTGACTTGGAAACATACTGATGTCATGAAGGATGTGTACAATACTTTCTTTAGATGTTTTAAGATATGTTCTCTGGAAAAGGTTTCAAGTGATATGCAAATCAGTGTTTTCCTAAAGCTTAGAAATGACTCATGTCCAGGCATTCCTGAGCCCATCATAGCAGGACTAGGTTCTTGAGGGTATTTTAGCTCCACATTCCCAGTGTGTATAAATCTAGTTCTGAGGCTGTGAATATTTAACATTTTCAGTGAAACAATTTAAAACGAAGAATAAATTCTTAACAGAATTTTTTCATGCCTATGGTTACCAGCTGCTCACATCACATAGGCCTAATTTACAAGCCCATCTCAGATCAACAAAAGTGGTTTCACTTCTACATAAACTTAATTAGAAAACCACTTCGATTTTTTTAATTTTGGGGGCCTCCAGTTATTGACCAAATCTTACTTATTAAGATTTCTCTATTTTCCAAGTCAAAGAGTAATTACTGTGTCAATTTAACCTGAGTTTTGTTTTAAAATTTAAAATTCAGCAGCCACAGAAACACCTGCCCACTAGGTTCCCCACCCCTGACCTAAGGTGACAACAGATTTTAAAATTCAGGCTAATCTCTGTACCAGACCAGTTCCAAATTCAAGCATTATTTCCATTTCTTTTGTGAAACGTGAGCAGTGATTTTTTTTTCATCCATACTGATAAAGAATTAGGTTTGATAATAAGGAACTTTTCATTTTTCAAAAGATACAAATTCTCTAGCTAGTTAAGCATTATATGAGAGAGTAGGGTCACTGATTTTAAAAGTTTTTCCTAAAAAATACTGCATGGCATAAACATTGGGCAAAAACAGGGAATTTGCACACAGCCGAGTTATCAATAGAACTAACTACATGCATTACTTTAAAATGTGTCCAAAGAAACTCTAAGTAAAAATTTTCTTTAATCTAAATCATAAGTATAAATGGAGTTTGTACTGGTCCACTTAATCAACATACTAGGATCAAATGAGTTTTAAAACAGGATTTACATATCTTCCACAATGCTGAAAAAGCTGCCTAGGAGATTTCCATATACTATGGGGGAGTGCATATTCACTTCGGCTAGTAAGAACTGAAAAATATAAAACATGCTGATTAAACAGAATATTCACTTTCCTTCCCTAGTGTGGGCATGTTCTTCAATTCTTAAAGAAAGCTAGGACACTAATTATAACAGCTTTTAAAGCTTTTCTGAAAATCCTATGACAGTATTTGGACTCTGAATAAATGTGGTTGGATATACTTACTGCCAAAGTAGTTGGGTGTGTTTTTCAGGTAGTGTAAAGTAAACCGATGAATTAAAATTTGATTACAAAATCTGATGAAAATTTACCTTTTCCCCCGAGGAACTCTATACAGTGAAGATGCAAAAATATCACAACTCACAATAGAATCTAAGCATATTTAAAACATATGCCTCGACTTGTGTACAATTTGTTTTGTTGACTAAGGGAATTATTCTACACCAAGTGACACCAATTAAGAGTCATTTTAATAACTCATTTTAGTCAATGTCTTTCACCTAACTAAAAGGTCCTAAGAATGAACCCAACCAACTGGTTTATGCTTGCCCTTGGCTGCAGATGCTAAGGAGCTGCCAAGGGATTAAAAAGGTGTGGATAGGAGGAGCTGAAGTGGCCGGGACAGGAGCCTGCCACGGAAAAAGCCAGGGCTGCTTGCTTATAAACAAGTTCAGTTCTGACAGTGGGTGGGTAGTAAGCAGTAGACACAGTTTAGAAGGTTCCATAAGAGAGGGTAAATTTCGTCCCCTTGGGTCAACAACCTTCAGTGCAGGGCTAAGTTGGAAACCGTTTTCTTGGAGCCTTGCTAAACTACCCACCAGCGCTTCTTAGACGTGCCCACGGTTTAAAAAAAAAAAAGCAAGCATTCCCATTCTCAAAGGTGCTCAGAGGGCTGAAGGGGCTAAGTAAACGTCTGGGTTGGCCCGCCCCACTCTGGTGACAGCCCTTGCCAGGATGGCCGGACTGCTGCAGCCTCAGCACCTGGCCAGAGCCGAGCTCCCGCACCTAAGTGCGGCCCACCTCGAGAGGAGGAGCCACGCGGTGGAGGGTCGAGGGAGAGGGAAGACGACCTCAATGGGGGGGCTGACCTTTTTCCTACTGACAGCGCTGGACCGGTACATCCTGCTGTTTCTTAGAGAGCGGCACGAAGGACATTTCTCCCCTTGGGCAGGAAAAAAACAAACCACCAAGTAGACTCCCGTGTGTGAGGGCGCTTGTGTGTGCTTGTGTGTGTGTGCGTGTGTGAGTGTGTGCCGGACAGCAGGCCGGAGAGGACGACGGCGGAGATGGTCAAAAGTAGGCTTTGTCGGTCCCGTGGCCAGCAGTCGGTCCTGGGACTACATCTCCCAGGCTGCTCTGGGCTGCCCCTGCGTCGTGACCCCTGTGCGCACGGAGGCGGCGACTCTTACCTCACAGAGGTAGCCCAGCCGTCAGCCTCAGCTCCTCGGTCGCGGTCCATGGACCGGAACCCCGGGGAGACGGGCAGGAACCCGCGCCGTGATCGCCGCCTCCTAGCCCAGGCCCCTCCTCCCGCCGCCGCCTCCTCACCCTCCTCCCGCTCGTCCTCTTCCTCCTCCCTCCCTCGCGCCCTCCCGTAGTCCAGAGGTCGCTCCAAGCCGCTGCCGCCGCCGCCGCGCCGCCCAGGGAGGCGGTGAGGAGAGCTCGCTGCGGCTGGAGCCCGGCTGAGGCCTAGCCCGCCGCCGCCGCCGCCACCGCTGCTATTGTCCCTCCCTGGGGCCCGGCGCTCGCCGCTGCTGCCTACGTCGCCGCCGCCGCTGCCGCTGCCCCGCTCCGCGGGGAGGGCCTCGAGAAGATGCCAGATCAAGCCCTGCAGCAGATGCTGGACAGGTACGGGGAGCGGCGGGCCCGGCCGGGCCGGCCCGAGCTTCGGTGTCCGTGGTGTGGCCGGTTTGGGGAGGGGGTGGCGTGGGAGGGGACAGAGAGACGAGAGCGGGGTCTGCGAGAGCCAGAAAGTTGTGTTAGCCCTTCCTTCCCACATGGGGCGTGTGGGCACGGGCGGGTTTGGTCCCCACGATTCCTCGCCCCCCCAGGGTCAGGAGAGACCTGCACCTCAGAGAAGACCCTTAATCCAGACGGCCTAAAATGGGGGGCTGGTTGGAAAATGGAAGCGTTTGGGGGGGGGGACGCTTCGACGGAGTATTGCCGAAGATTTGACTCCTAATTCGATTCAGCAAATGTTTCTTTAGCTCCTGCCCTTTAGCGCTCGGAATAAAAACAACAAAAAACCAAACTGAGACAGCCCCTGCCCTCACGAGCTTACCGCTTTGTACAGAAATTGGCAAATACCAAGTAATTTCAGGAGAGGAAGGAAACAGAAACCCAAAACTCAAAACGAGAAAAACCAAGATCACACAGAAAACTTGAAATTCCCGTGAGTTCTAGAGACCCTGTTTTGTCTCACGTGGAAAGAAGAGCTAGGTGACCTCTGAATTCAGTTCAGCAAACATTTACAAGTACCTCCTATGTACTGTAAGATTGGGTATTTTACATACATATGTTTGTGTATGTGTATATATATATATATTTATATATGTAAACACACATACACACATAAGAAATCCATCATATATATATATATATATATATGTAAAGAAAGGAGAGACAGAGAATGCATCCTTCTCTCAAGAATCTTACATTTCACTAGGGAAAAACAACACGTACACCCATGAGTAAATAGAAGTAATTTGAGGAGGGAGTAAACTACTGGGGGAGGGGATGAGGAAGACTTCATAGAGGCAGTGGCACCTGAGCCTTGCCCGACCTCAAGGGGGTGTGACTCTTCCACTGGTTATTAAGCCTCCAAATTCTAGCAACCTGGGATAATCACTAATGGAAAACCTGGTAGGCTGGTTTCCATTTCCCCAGGATCAAGTTAGCAGTAGTAGATAATATGAAAACAGCCATAAGTCTACCACTCAATGATTGACATTTTCTGTTATCACTTATGATTCTTTGAGGATGGTATAAACCATATTGAAGTCTATTTTTTCCCTGATTATATTTATTCTGTATGTATTCACATGTCTCCTCCACTTAATTCCTGCTTCTTGAGAGTAGGATTTGTTTCATTCTGGGCATCTGTATTCCCAGGGCTCAATACATTTCCTGGAATGTATATAAGCTTACTGATTGTCTGGTAGCTTCTTGCATGAAGTCAAGAACCTTTACAAGGGCCTGGGTCTCACCATAATTCGTTGAGAAACACCTTGTTATCCCTGTCGTCAAGAATCTTATATTATGGTTTAGAGAAGAGACAACTTGTACACAGAAAAGTAAATGCAAAATACAAAAGTAATTTCTGGGGAGAGGGCACTAGGAGCTGAGAGGAGAAGCCTACTGTAGGAGGTGGCTCTGGAATAGGGTACACTTATACTGAGGGATCAGGGATAGAGCAAAGGAGGCTGAGAAAGAATAGCCAGACAAGTAGGAAAACGAGCAAAAAGTGGTGTCATAAAAACCCAAGGAAGACAGAGAATCCAGGACAAGAAAGCAGTAGTTTCAAAGGCTGCCAGGTTCAAATGGGACAAGAGAAAAGGCCATGGATTTAGCAGTTCAGAGAGCAGGGTTTTTTTAACATTAACTGGGAAGGCTTAATCTACTTGACCAATGAAGGGAGCTGGAACTAGAAACTCAGACTTCCTGAGTTCCTGCCCAACAGTCTTTGTTTATCTCCTGGTCCAGTGAATCACCTAGACTAACAGTGGTACTTAGAAGCATATCTCAGATCTCTCCTGAGTCAGCAAATAAGTTACAACCCTTTTGGCATAGTACAAGCTGTACAATAAGATATTAAATTAATTTTACCGCCTTTTGAGGCTATCCTCACTTGTTTATAGCTAATCTTCAGGCATGACCCAAAATAAGGGCTCATCCTTGAATAGGTTCTGTGTATCCCCCACCCATTTCCACTGAAACTCTGCCTGAACAGTAATATGCAACTTAGAAAGCCTGAAGCAATTGGGCATATCAAGTGCAATGGTGTCCAACCCAAATAGAAATGGGGGCCACTAAACTATATATTAGGATCCCTGCAAGTGTATGTTGACTAGAAAGCCACAAATTAACATTATTTATGTTTTCATGAATTTTTATTTATTAAATACTTGCCAATTATATTTTAATTTGGTTCATTCCCCAAATCCTCCTATTTGACACCTGCCCTGGAGGATTTATGGGAGGACTTGGATGAGATTCATCCAAGATGAAAAGTATAGATTTGAATACTCATAAAATAGAAACATTTAAATTTCTAAATGAAAACCATGTACTTGTTTCTCTGGTGGAGTGATCCATGCATGGCAAACAGATCTGTGGCATCCCTTACAAAGGAACCTAGTTCCCCAGCTATCCTGATTGTTCAGAGTCTAGCAGGTCACCTCATTTTCTTCTCATTGTCACTGGGAACGGAGGCAGGTTACATATTTGGCTGTCAGTGACATTTGATCAGAGGGACCAATACCCAATCCTTGTCCAGTGAGGTCTTAATATATTAGGTACGTTCCAACTCACGTGTGACCTAAGGGTCTTTTACTTGTCTCTATGGATAACATTAATTTTAGAAACATTGTGTAGAAAGAGTACTGGTTCTGGAATCAGGATTTGGATGTTTCTGCTCTGCTACTTACTAGCCATGTGAACTTGGGCAAATCAATTAGAATATCTTTGAATTCTCTAATTTCTTTCAAAACTCAGCTCATAAAAACCCAAGGAAGACAGAGAATCCAGGACAAGAAAGCAGTAGTTTCAAAGGCATCCTACAAAATCACTTTCCTCATTTCCCACCCCTCCAAACTTTTACTTTGTATCTATTTTGTATATACTTAGGTGCATGTTGTCTTCCTGTATAGCATACAAGCTCCTTGAGATTTCCTTTTTTTTTTTTTTTAAATCTTTGTACTCCCAGTGTCTGTCTCATTGTAGGCACTTAATAAATGCTTGTTATTTGATTGATCTTAAAAGCTATTGGTAACCAGGGAATACCTCCCTGACTATACTTCCAAATATGTCTCTGCAACCCTGGAAAGTCCTGGACCTCCACTGACCTAACCTGATCTATCTACTTAATGCTGTAGGCACCTAAAGAGAAACAATATTGATACTAGTTTATGTTCATGTTGTGCTTTAAGGTGTGCAAAGTACTTTACATGTATTATTTTATTTGATATCCTTACCTAGAAATAGTGACCTGATGTTCCTGCTTCTAGAGGGATGACCAAGTTTGTGGGCACAAAATAGGATTTTTATGAAGTGTCTTAAGCATTAGTATAAAGTTACTTTATATCCTGGTTTTATCTCTTAACAAAAGGACATGATAGAGAATAGGTAGAAAAAGGAAAAAAATTTGACCTCTGTAACCTTCGTTGCCTTAAGTTTTAGTTGCATCTGTCAAGCAGAGTTTGTTGTCATCCTAAAATCTCAGAAATGTTTCTCTTTCTGTAAGACAGCAGTAGTGTTCTTTTGCTCCTAGGTCACGGTACAAAGTATTATAGATCTGTAATAAAAGCCTATGTCTGTGTTTCATGATTACAACTACCCAATGGGGGGGGTGTGTGGAAACTGCCAAGGAAAACAATTCCATTTCATACAACATTAATGATGTTTTCAGGTGGCATCACTTAATGTTGCAAGCCATTTAAGCTGTAAAAAATAATTTATTACTGAAAGAGAAATTAAGTTGTATTTTTATTTTACTAACTTTAGTGTAGTGACTAGTTATTATATCTGACATATTTTGAATTTTGCTAGTGTAGTGCTTAAAGGCAAAAGACAAGTATATTTTCTTTATTTTTACCCTTTCTATATTGTTCCTGATTACATGTAAAAACAATTTTTTACATTTGTTTTTTAAAATTTTGAATTTCAAATTCTCCCTCTTTCCCTCCCCTCCCCCCTCATTGAGAAGGCAGGCAACTTGATATGGGTTATACATGTATAGTCATGCAAAACATTTCTGTATTAGTCATATTGTGAAAGAAAACACAGACAAAAAACCCCAAGAAAAATAAAGAAAAATTTTTTAAAGTATACTTTGATCTGTATTTAGACTCCATCAGTTCTTTCTATAGAGGTGGATAGCATTTTTCACCATAAGTCCTTCGGAATTGTCTGAGATCATTGTATTGCTGAGAATAGGTAAGCCAGTCACAGTTGATCATCGTTGTGTACAGTCTTCTGGTTCTGCTCACTTCGGTTTGTGTGAGTTCATTTAAGTTTTTCCAGGTTTTTCTGAAGACATCCTGCTCATCATTTCTTATAGCACAATAGTATTCCATCAAAATAGTTTATCACTACATTCAGTCATTCCCAATTGATAGGCATTACCTCAGTTTCCAGTTTTTTGCCACCACAAAAAAAGTTGCTAGAAATATTTTT